TAAACTATATGAAGAACCATGGAAAAAACTAAGATTAGCGATAAAACTGACGAAAATAATATAGATTTCGAAGTCTCTGTAGTACTGTCATATAAAGAAAGGATGTCAGAGGCTTTACGGAGGATTCTCAATGAGACTGGAATTAGTCCAGGTGTCATTTAACCAACCAACTAAGTCACTCACAGATAAACCCTGTATGTCGGCTTAAGCACCCAACAGATCCAACTAGGAAAATGTATAAAACAATCCACCAAATATCATGTAATGCTGGCTGACTGTGAGTGAGGTTAATTACGCAAAACGGTCAAACAAGTAGATAGGGAGGGGTCAACTAGATTATTGGAACATGAAAATTTAGCTAGGCCTAGTCTCAACGACTCTGATAAGTAAGTTGAATAGCCTAGATAAACAAAAAACAGAGCACAACCACTCCACATCATCCACTTGCATGTAATCACAAAGTCAATTGGGTGTGTGGAACACAGTGAGAGTATTAAAAGTTGATATAGTTAGTTAGGTGGAGTGAGCGAGTGCGAGAGACAGAGAGAGAGAGAGAGGGTAATCACTGAAGCTTTGTTTATTGATTCAACACCGAATACCTGCACCAATCGGAATGATGCAACGCAACGCAACACAACGCCACCGCCTTTACCGGAGATATGGAAACTGGCAACAAACAACACGCCGGTGGGAGTTGTTATCAGAGACAGAATAGAGAGAGAGAGAAAATATACGTTTAAGACAAATGGTGAAACCGTGTGCGACTACAATTGATTGATGTGATTATGAGTGTTAATAATTTATGCTGGACAGCTTGTCTGTCTGCCATCCAATTGCTAATAATTAATTATCATCAGTGTGTGTGTGTGATACTGAAAATAAGCTTATTTAATATGGAAGCACACATTCCACCATAGTACCCAAGTTCTACAGTTACATTAGTTGAGATTCTTTCGTTTATGTTTTTTTCTCCACTGAACATGCCTCTTGTAGTTGTACTCATTCCCAGAAGTACAGGACTGAAAGCATGCCCAGATTTATATTAGAATTATCCTGCTAGATTTAAACAAATTCGTGCAGAAACTATATAACTGCTACACTCACAGTATTATGATTTTGTTAGACTGTACCAACAATGTCACCTTCATAAAGATTGTTATGATAACAGAAAGGAAGCGTCAAAGTGATTAGTAGGGCGGCAAAGTTCACCAACAACAGCGTCCCATGTGATGTGAACACATGAGTGACCTTGGGGCGACCAATCATAAAAATGAGGAATTTTTGCACAAAAAACGACATACATTATTTTTATTTATTTATTTTTTTTTTATTTACATTTACGATGTGACTTAAAAATACGTCGCAATTATAATGAAGAGTATCAGTTGCTAAATTAGACTAATTTCTGTGCATGCATTCGCCAAGGTGACTGAAGATAAGCTATTTTAGTGAATCGTTTTTCTCTCTTATCCTGTTGTGCAGTCTTCTCCAAAAGCCCTTGGCTGAATTACTACAGTTTCCAGTAAGAGGATAGACGACGACTACTACTTACCAGGAAAATGTGGACAATAAAACAAATTTAAATAAATGACATTAGTTCTAAAAATATCTCTTATCGTAACCCTAACCTTAATCTTTACTCTAATCATAACCCTTATCCAAACCATAATTCTAACCCTAATCCTAATTATGACCTTGATATTAACCCTAACCGCAGTACTTACCTTGACCCTAATCCTAACCATAAGGAGCTATTAACACATTGTTCAAATAGTACTTAATAATGTGATCTAGGTGAAATTTCTACCTTAGTTGGTGGTGAATAGCGTTGATATTTCAGCTGATATGATAATGACAGGTGCTGTTAACCAATGACCAGTATGCGTTTAAAGTCATTGGAACGTTTGTACTCCTGGGACACCTATTGATGAACTTCGCCAGTAAGTAGAGCGTTCATATATCAGAAAGGTGAATCACTTTGAAGCTCCAGTCTCATACTGACACACATGTACACACACACATACACAGACAGACACGATTTTAGGGAACTAAAAGATATTTTATTTTGGAGATTTTATCTTTAGTCATCACTCCTAAATGCAACTTTGGAGATTTTGGTGGTGCCACCATTGGTAGAATTGCAAGTTTAAGGCCCTTTGCTTTTAAATGATTGTGCTGTGGAGAGGGGGGGTGGGGGGTGGGAAAGAGAGACAGTGAAGGATGCTTGCCTAAATCATAGTACTTTAGCTAGATTTGCCAATTTCCTAACTTACAATAATGGCTCTAATCCAAACATTATTTTCGATACAAAGTGAAATTTTCAGCAAGTGATAACAATATTCCATCTAATAATTTCCTCTTTACAGTACACATGGTACATGAAGAAATGGCTAGACACACGGCACTGACATTGATTAGCATTCCTCAATAAGAATGTGATCGCAGAAATTAAAACTTAATTGGAAATATTAAAAGTTATTTATATATATTAACTAAAGAAAGAGTAAAAAGGACCGTCTACTTAGTGTTTCCCAGTAAGTTAGTAGTACCATGTCCTACACACTCATCTCATCAAATTAAATGTGTCCCGGCTGGCTAAATAAGGTATTGTAGTATTTTTATAGTTGCTAGTTCCTCTAGGCTGTTAATTCCACTATTTGATGAGATAGATGCAAGGAGAGAGAGAAAGAGAGAGACAGTTATGTATGCAGAGGATTTCCAGAGTCCAACAATATAATATTCGCTAATTTCCCGCATCAGTCCATGTAGCAATCTACAACAGTATTAACGAGTTGGTTTACCGATATCCTCCTCGCCCTATTGACAGCTTTTAGTGTCCTACACAGTGTAACAAACAAAGTATTTCTTGAGTAGCCTGAGGAAGATTGAGGTGTAAGACAGCATTGAGAGGAATATGTAGAGTACATGAATTGACAAACTGTAGAAATAGTGATCGAGAGATATCAGACTGTCTTAACTTCTTTACATAGCAGCTTAAATGTAACACCATTCTAGAAATTTAGATGATGTGGGAAGACCAAGAAAGACCAGAGTAAATGCCCAATACAAGATATTTAACATTCGACTTAGTTTCAACTTCAGTGCCATCTATGATACTAGAATCATTGTAGCCAATCAGTTTGCGTAAATCACCTTTTTTGTATGAAAGTGAAATTAACAATCTGCCATTTGGAGGGATTTAGCTGAAGTCTATTCGACAAGAACCACTGACTAATTTCTAATAAAACTTGGGCACTGTGGTAGTATGTAATTCCATATTAGTTTGTTTATTAGATGTATCAAACAGTGAAACAGTTTTATTTACTGGTTGACAAGGTTTCGAACAAAATTTATTGTTCGTAATCACACCACCAATTATAATCACACGACTTCGAAACTTGAGTTTCATAGTTTTCTTTGTTCGCTCGTATTTTTCGTCGTTGGTGTAATAAAATTCGCCAGATACCCAACTGGACAGGTGTTGAATCATTCCTATTACACGTGTTGATTCTCAGTTGATTCGGTAAACAAAGCTTCTGTTATCGATCTTCCCCACTGGCCACCCTGTTACATTCGATTTCAAAACTATCATATTATCCCATCATCTTATATTGCAAGGTTGTGTGTAAGTGCATGTATTGAGTTCCATAGCTGAACCATTTATTCTCCAGATTTATTCGGGTCAACTAACCTAGATTTTGTTAGGTTTTTATGCTCGACTAGTCTGACTGTACTTGTTCTACTACTCTGACCCATGTATTTGACCTAATAACCCCTGCAGGCAGGGTATTAGATAAACTAAACTGTTTTGTTTCATTGGCTCTACAGGGTCCTTTAACCGACAAAGCTTGTTTCTAATTGAGTTTGTGGGTGGTTTGAATGTCAACCACTTTTATTTCTGCCTTGTCAAGAATTCTGCGTAAGGTGGTTTCCGAGGAAACAATAAATTTTGTTCGAATCGTCATCCAGTAAATAATACTGTTTCCCTGGGTGATATCATATCTAATAAACAAACCAATATGAAATTTTAGATTTCCCTGTCGACTGATTGGATCGAAGTGCTCTGTCTCAGGTTGATGACGTGTCGGCTCCTTGTATAGGCGCTTCTACGATATCTAGTGCTGTGCAGTTCTCAGTGCTTAGTGGCAAAACAAGAAATAAATATATTCATCCGCTAGCTAGTTGGCTCTACACTAATATATAGTCTTCTTCTACATCAAAATGTTTTACCAATCAAGTGGTCATTTTAGTTAATCAGTTTTAGGTGTAGCAAGGTGGAAATGGTTAAAAGTTGAAAGAGGTTAAAACTCATCAAAACATCACTTAAATTATAGATGTTAGTAACAAGATATCCAAGTTTTTGAAAGGAGGGAGGGGTGAAAATTAATTAATTAATTAATTAATTAATTACGGAATTCAAGATAAGTTAATTCTTAAGGGTGAGCAACAAGCTATCTATCACATGGCTGATAAATTTGTAATTAATTAATTGTTTTGATGAATTTTAACCTCTTCACTTCACTTCACTACACCTCTACCCCACCCTGTTATACGTAAAACGGATGAACTAAAATAACCACTTGATTGATTGGTAAAAACAGTTTTGATGTAAAAAGCGACTATATATATATTAGTGTAGAGCCAGCCAGACAGACAGACAGCCAAACGATGATGATGAGGAACTAATTGAAGTAAAGGGATGCATGTGATTTCTTCTCTCAGTCTGTTTTTTCTCTAAATGCGTTAGATGCGAATTTGGAAATTAATGAAATCGTCTGAGAACCGTGTTGCGTAGAAGTTCCTAAATGCCTAATAGTATACTATTTTGAGCCTTTCATTACAGTGCAGTGCATTAATGATATAAATTACCTATCAGCATTCACACATCCCAGTTTATTGTAAAAATACACCACCAGAGTCATATATTGTTGAGTAGGATTCATGAATAATAATAACAATAATAGTTAATTTCACAATATATAAATTGTCAATTAACTTACCGATAATCGACCTTATATACGCATTATAACCATTTGATGAATAGGTGTTTTGCATTTCAATTTTTGTTAAGTCAATAACGCTCAAATTATTCTGATTAACTACTCCTTATAAGGTCTCTTTTCAAGTAGAATTAAATTGTATACCAATGGAACGGGATATTATGTATATAATATATATATATAAATATATAATGTCGGGGGAATAAATTTTGATCGTAGAAACTCGATTGTAGTCTGTGTAAAAATGCGTTTTATTCACTCGGTTATAATATTCTAATGCCACAGTAGGTATATTGTCATTACAAGTGGTATCTTGAACCCCTTATATATGTATGTATATATACATATAGGTGTATGCAGATATTAAGGGATTTATGTGTGTTTTATGGTCAAATCAGAATGAGGTACATTATTATTATTATTATCACTATCCCTTTCTAACTGTGTATCTTTCTATGCACTCACTGTGCCAACTGTGCACAACTGTCCCTTAGTATCACAATTGTTACTGCTTTCTCTCCTCCAACTTTTCAACTTACATTTTATTGGCGATAGGTAGTGTTTTTTTTTAATGCAGTGAATTATATTTGGGCAAAAAGGGGAAGACGGTTAGTGCTAATGAGATAGATGGGTGCAAGTGTAATGTATGTGTGCTTTTGTGCAATGATAGTGTCTGTGTGTGTGTGTGTGTGCATATATGTGCGCTTGTATCTTGTGAATAACCCCTACCATTCACACAAATGCACACATGTAGACAATGAGACACGTACACACTTAAATTTGTTCCAATGTGTACCTTAATGTGTAATTATGAATTACAATTGTCTGTCCTATGCTTTGAACCCTACCATTTTGAATACTACACAGCATAATAATAAATTATAATGTGGTTATTTTTATCATCACTAGCAGTATCATTATTATTATTATTATTGTTTTTGGGTACTGTTATTACGTTTACTGTTATTGTGATTACTACCGTAGTACTTTGAGTGCTACCAGCAGAGTACCTTTTCTCTATCTACTGTTTGGCAAGTAACAAAATCAAACCGCTAAAAACAAAAAAGATTGTTGAAACCAGCAGTTTAGTGATTCGTTAACACTTGTAGAAATTCTCTTCCCACTCTCTCTCTCTCTCTCCCACATGAATGATGCACCAGTATAGTGCACAATTGTTATAAAGATTACAAAATGTGTAGCCAGATAAATGTAGGCTTAATTAATTAATTAATAATCCCTCTCTGTATGTCTCTCTCTCTCTCAAACACAGCCTGTTTCTATTTGTAGATTTGTCATTGAAGAAAATGCTAAAGAGTAGTTCACCATTGACATTGCGGTAGTAGTACATATTAGGAAATGTAGAGCATATCTTTCTGCCGTCTTCTACATGTCAAATTATTATCATATAATAATAATTATTATTCACTTGATTTCCGAGTGGAATATAGCGCTTCAAAAACACATCTCCCTTTCGTTCTACTTTCTCCTATCCTCTTCAGCTGGTTCAACCCAAAACTGCTAATAATCCCTCATCTCCTCCTCCCTCCAACTCAAACCATCTCCTCCACGTCACCCTCGCACCGACCACCCATTCGCTTTCCACTTGGGCGACGGATGGTCTGCATCGAGTGCCATGTCATTCAACTACCCTCTTTCTCAGCATATGACTGATCAATGTATCTCCATTTTCTTCGACATATTTGTTGAGCAATCGGCTCTTCATCGGTTAGTTCATTGTCAGAGTTGCTGGCCGATCGGCCGGCCGCCTGGTCACTAGATCCGTAGTATGTAGGTAGCCAGCCAGCGAAGGGGGCAGCTGTTGATAAGTGTTGATTAGTGCTGGCTGCTGTTGCTATTGGTGGTAATTGGTCATCTTCATCACCCCCATCTCCACCTTCTATATACTCACCTGGAGTCCTGTCTTCGTTGTCTGTTATCTTCTTCTACCAACTTGTTGGGTTTTGCCTACAAGTCTTCGAATTTGTGTTTGTGTGGCATTCAACAACCTAAATCATCCACACGCGAAATCCAGATATTCTGGTGTCTTCTCATAGGTCAATGCAGAGTGTTTCTGTCTTCTCACTTACTCACTCGCAACCAACGCACAGTCTGATGCATAATCCAGTCCACCACAATTACGGATTTCATCCTTGGTGATAACAGGCAGCCAGTCAACTTCTCTTGCTCCTGTATTCACCAACTGCAAAGAAAAACTTCGCTGAGATTTCCGTTGTGGATCATGTGGCATATGCAACTGTCATATATAGCCAACTGTTGAATGAGGTTGTTAAAGACTTGGGCATTGCACACAGTATTGATGAAGTAGTTTCCAAATTACTTCTCAGTCAATGCTACACTGTCGATGACCTTTTCGAAGTCGATGAAGTGGAGGTATAGATTTGACTATCATTCTATGCTTGATGATGACTATATGCAGATATGTCAAATAGTATGACCTTCATTTTAAAATTGTAAGGATTCTGTAACGTAATGTGTCTAGTACACACAAACGCCTATTTCACACTTCATTCTACACATTGTATTCTTTGTTACAATTACATGTCAATGAGATACATTAGTTAATATTATTATTATTATTGTTGTGTAATTGACTGACTGTAAAAGATACTAATTCGAAAAATTTCTGTTTAGAGTTTTTTCTTCTCTATTTTAGAATTGACTGAAACTGTGTGATAAGATTTCCCAATTAATTTCAAGTGTGTAGATCTGAGGTAAGATACCGCCAGTCACTTGAGGAATATTTACACAGAAAAGGACAGGCGTGACGAAGAAAACTGACCAGCTACAACAATAATAGCAAGAACAACAAACACCACTTTCACTTATCTAGGCAGGATCGTCTAAACCACAACTATATGCCATGGGTAAGGATGTAAAACCTATAATCGGAAAGGCAAGAAAGACATTCATCACTCTGATATCAGCTTGTAAATCTGTTGTATTCACCGTAAACACAACCGTTAGCTCAGTTAGTGCTTCTACTTGGCATGTCACTAAAACTATTTCCAACAGCCTACTACAGACGTTTGTCAACACCTACCTCCTCCGATTGCGTCATACTGAAGATCAGATAGGCGGTGGAAAGAATTATCAGCATTGAACTCTGGAACAAATCAACCAAGAACTCATTGTCAAAACGACAAACATTTTGAAGAAAATGCAGAATAAGAGTTGGACATACCCTGAGGGCGGTGGTTGGGTGAAACTACACTCCAACAAGGCAATTGTTTGAGTGGAACTCCGAAAGGAGACGACGAGTTACGAGTGGATCTGTGATTGGCAGGTATGAGTGCGTAGTTAGGACTCTCACCGACCATGCACATGGTTCGAGGTTCGATCCCTTGCCAATGCACACCTGATATCTATGGTCGGCATGCAGTGCAATGTAGTGCTGTGAAGTCTTCTAAATTACTTATCATCGTGGGATCAATCATTCTAACCTCAGTAAAATTCTCCTGTTCTGATAATCTCACTACTCCTGATCGACTAGTATGACCTATGTAGTTGACCATACAGTGATTGCAGGGTGTTTTGTAAATTATATTATTTTGTCTAACTGGGTCAACCTACAGGCTTGTTTAACCTACCTACAGAGCTTGTCCCTGAATGAGTTTGTAGGTTTAAATGCCACCACCCTAATTCCTGCTTTATTAAGAATCCTACTTAGGGTCTCAGGTGACACCTCCTCCCTTATATGGTAAGACTTCTGTAGATGGCTTATATTCTCTCTTATTTATGTTAGTTATCATTATTAGTCTCACCATTATTTTTATTTTGCTTTTGACCTTTCGTCATCTTTCTAATGAATTTTAGAGCATAGTTAGTCATTTAACACCAACGCTTTCATCATTTAGGTCGTTTTTTGTACTACATAGTGTTGTTATTGCCTCATTTGTTAGACGCTCAACTAACTAAGCTTGCCTTCACAGACAGATAACGAACGGATGAGATGAACTGAACTTAAAGTCTAAATATCTATTAGCAGAATGCGTTGGTTTTTTTTACAAACTCTAGTGTGCAGTTTACTTTCTTCTGTTCGTTTGATTTTACAATCTAACACATCATGGCTAATTCTCTTTGTTCATTTTCCGATTGAAATGTGAATTTTATTCCCTTTACTAGTGAGTCTATGTGTGTGGGGAGAAGCTAGAGAGAGATATGTTCTGTTTTCAACAATGTGTGTGAAAGTGTCATCCACCTGTCTCCACCATATTTTTGGAGTAGGATTAGGTGAATGTATTAAGAGCAATATTTTTCCAGCGGTCGATGAAGATATTTTACTACGATGATAGGTGATACTTATGATCCATCCCACTGGTACACCTCGTGTTTGTCTATATAAGGATGAGGTGGAGATGCTTTGCTGAAGCTCTATATTCCACTCGGAACCTAAGGGAATAATGATCAGCTAACCTCCTTCTACTATTTAGTATTCACTGCCCATTATCATCTTCTTCCCAGATTATTCAACTGTTTATTAATTCCTTGTTACTCGAATGACAACTTTTCAGAATTTGAGGTAGTCTTTTACACTTTTTAAAATCACTAGATGTGTAAAAACTGGAATGAATCGGTCAGAATACTTCTACTTTCCTTGTATTTATATTAGATTCACATCACAGCGATCAGTATTACTTTTAGAAATCTCAGTCACAAATATGAGATGCATCAATAGTGAGAACAGAACACGCAGTTCAACGGAGACCCTCTATTTGGCGAATTCATTTTCCTTCTCATCTGTACAATTGCACTCGTATACAATTTTATTTTTCATGAAAAAGGGTAGTATTAAAAGTGATCAGTTGTCATAAATATAATTGACAAAAGACGAGTAGTTCAGCGAAGAGTCTCTTTTCAGCGGTGAATTCATTTTCATAGCTGTACAATCGCAAATATATATGATTGTTTTGTATGTATGTATGAACATTAAATTTGTCAAACGAAAATACAATTAGTAAGTTCAGGTGAATTGGATGTTGATATAAGAGGTAAAAAGAGGTAAAAAAAGAGATGAGTTGTCACAAATGATTGTTA